AAGGGCCATGTCCTCAGTAATCCTAAGTCGCGCCATGTCCTGTCTGATCACCTCTCCCCAATACTTCTTAGGTCGCCCTCTACCTCTCCGCGTGCCCACCACAGCCAGTCGCTCACACCTCCTCACCGGTGCATCAGTGCTCCTCCTCTGAATGTGCCCGAACCATCTGAGTCTTACTTCCCGCATCTTGTCCTCCATGGGGGTCACGCCCACCTTCTCTCGAATATCTTCATTCCTAATCTTATAGACAAGAAGTGACAATACCAAAAAATCATATAAAAGCAGAATAAAAACAACAAGACAGTAAGGTGATCAACAATGAAAGAAAATAACAGATAGTTATAAAAACCTACTACCAACAGAAAGCAAGACTGCATGTCAATACTACTGTTGTGAACACTCTAGACTAACTGTTATGTTTTTTCTTTTGTTAATGTTGTATTAATCCCGCTAGCTTTTAGTCAAGATTCGTTGTTGTTGCTATTTTCATTGTTATTATATCTGCACTCCTTTATTTCTACTACAGAAGAGACTGAAATGAATTCCTTAAATTTTGCTTCTTTTGGTTTGTTGGTGAGAGGTTAATATGAATTTGTGGTAGTCTTAATCTGTAGAAGATTTTGTTAGAAAAATTGAATACTGAGAACAGAATATGAGAGAATGCTTGAGGCGCCTATAAAAACTTTTTCAAAAGAATAATTGCTTGACTTTTGAGAATGACATAAAACACTCTTTTTATTATGGTATATACATTGATAAATTTTATGGTATATTCGTCATTATAAGAGTTACACTTAACCTATATCTATCTTTTGAGTTACTTAATTGCGTAATATTTTTTTTAATAGTGTTAGTGTATATAAATTAATTTAAGATACAAGAAACCTCTTACCTGTTATCTTGAGTGGTATAATTTGAAAGTTAAACAACATTCTTAAATAGATTTTGAAAGTCCAAAGTAAAATTCACAAAAAATAAAACTTCATTAAATAAAGAGCATTTCACTTTCACAAGTGGGAAAGCTAAGTCCATCTATGATATATGAAAATCAATTTCCAATTATCACAAGTGATAGAGAACTGTTTTTAATGGGAAGCGGGTGCACAAAACACTTTGAAGACTCAACTCTTGTTCTGTTTTAATGCAAATTCACGCATTATTTTGAGAATGAAACATCTTACTATTGCCAATTCCATGATACAAATTAAACTGTACAAGAAGGTCAACAGTTGGGTGTGCAATGAAATTTCTAACACCATTTCTTAAAAAACATGTGCAATTAGAGCCAAAATCATAATTTCTGGTAACAAGAATGCGGGGAGAAATTCCAGACAGTAGCGTTGTTCAAGTGAAATGAGCTCTTAAACATGTTGCTTCCATTTGGTCTGCTCTCTGATTTGTAGACGTCTCTTCCTCTTTGCTCTGTGATCTCAGTGCTGTATCTTCCTTGTCTTGTCTGTTCCACACTAACCCTTTATCCTAAATTTATTTCGAGTCAAAACTAGTCAACCTTGTGTGATGCAAAACACAAGTTACACTTTGCTGTTCAACATAAATATGCAAATGCCATTGGTCTAGAACACCTCAAAAACTTTCATAAGTTATGCCAGATTTTGACTGGCTGCGACATAATATGCAACAGAAAAGAGGGCATGAACAAAACACAGAATTCCACCAATGGATAGGTAATTATGATGTATTAAACCACACGAAATTCTTGACTTGTGGTTCGCCTTTGTCCCAATCACTAGCATTCCCAATCCTACTGCAAATATGATCCTGAAAATCAAAAGACACAAATCATTTCTTTCAAAAATTTATAGACTTGCCCAACAGGTACTTTCTGATATGAAGAAAAACCTTAGGGAATTAAGAAAATGAAAAAAGAATGTCAGAGGTGAATTCAAGATTTTAAGTTACACGTTCCAATATCATCCCATCAACTATTTTTTTTTGATACCATACCATGTAAAAACGAGACAAGCAATTGATAATTGCTTGATAGGGGTGGCTTTCCGAATATCGTCAGTAGTACAAACACTGCAGCCTCCGAGAAGGTTGGCAAGAACATGAGCTATTCCAAGCAGAGTTGCTGCAGCTAACCCAAAAACAAATGCCTCATGGCTTGGCTTGTTACATGACTCGAACAACCACAGTGTCTGGTGCTTTTCCTGCTCCAGTTCACAAAACGAAACCAATCAAATACTATGGATTTAAGTCATTCATACTTGCTAGGCAAAGATTCTTTACACTATTAGTAAAGTGAGTATTAACCTTAATAATGATGGGGCCACATTTTTTACCAAGGGGTGTCAAAATATAAAGAAGTAAATATATAAAGAAATCAAAGAGATTTTATATATATACACACATAAAATTAAATTCACTGGTTCTTGTGATGTTATTATTATTTCTATGATTTTTTGTTGATGGTACTGCTATATATTGTCTCTTTTTGTCTTATCGTTTCTTTTAGCCGAGGGTCTATCGGAAACAGCCTCTCTACCCCATTGGGGTATAGGTAAGATCTGCGTACACACTACCCTCCACAGACTCCTCTTGTAGGATTCTACTAGGTCGTTGTTGTTGCTACACACACATAATTATTAGTAAAAAAATGACAAAGTGTAATTTTCCAACAAACCCCTTCTATTTTTTTAGGATTATCAATTACTACTAGTACTTATTAAAAGATTAAACTATCAATGACATGATTATGTGAATATTTTTATACAATCAATTCATAGATCTATAACTTTTTGGCCAATTCTCCAAACGAAAAAGCATTTTTGTTAAGAAGTGTTTTTTTGTTTTTATCAAAGGTGAAGTATTAAGCTTTTAGAAGAATAAGAAGTGTTTTTGAGTAGAAACAGCCAAAAGCACTTTTTTTAAAAAAATATTTTTGAGAAAAATATATTTTGAAGAACTTTTTAAAAACTTAACCGAACATTAATTGCTGCTCAGAAATGTTTTTCAAATTAATTAACCACACACAAGCTACTTCTCACAAAAAAACACTTTTGTAAAAAGCATTTTTGAAACAAAAATACTTTTCAAAATAAGTTGATTTTAGAAGTTTGGCCAAACATCCAATCGGACTCATAAGAAAACCTTTTTCGAGGAGTTTGAAATGCTGACACTCTTTCTTTTTCCTGCTCTTTAGGAAAATGTTTATTACACTGATATTTTCCATTATATCATACCTTTGGAATTTTGAACCAGTGGCAAGGTTTGAAAAAAGAAGCGAAAATCTTTAAAATCTTCACCGAATACCATTAGAAGTTGTATGAACTAGACTCGATTACATAGCAGAATGAATAGACAAGATTTATATAATGGATTTCAACAGATTTATTTGAAGTTAAGGTTTTGTTAAATTAATCGATTGATATACCTGGTTTTCAGATGCTTCTGCTTTATATCCAAGAATCCCAGCAACGACATCAAAGGCCACTATCAGCAAACCAGCCAAGATTTTAACCATTTTGGCCATATTTTCATGAGTTCAAAGATATTCGAAAGGAAGAAAGAATGATTGAAGGTTACCACTGTCTCTCCCCCTCTCTATATGGCGTGACTACGAGCAATATATGCCAAAGCATAAATATTTATATAATCTTGTAATTTAGTATATAGTCTTAAATGAGATGAGGTTGAATAATGGAATAAAATTAATAATCGAATATTATACAATATTTGCAACTGTAAAAGGAGATAAGAGTTGGATGACACTAAAGATAGGCTTATTTTTTCAGTACAAAAGCTTACTTATTTTGGCTTTCTTTTTGCCTACTTTTTATCTCCTTTTTGAATATGGCAAAGGAAAGTAAGGCATAAACCAGCAAATGAATGGTATGGCTCAGGCATCTGTCACGGAAAAAAAAGGTATTCCTTCTATTATGTGAATTCTATCCTTTTTTTTATTTATTTCAAAAAGAGTAATATATCTTATATTTAAAATTAATTTAACTTTAAATCGTTGAGTGCAGTGGCGAACCCAAGTGGTGGCTAGCGGGTTCAGCTGAACCCGCTTCACAAAAAAATAATACTGTGTATATGTATAAATTAGGATTAAAGCAGTGTAAATTTTATATAAATATTTTGAACCCACTTGACAACTACTATTTTACGACTAAAGTTATATACTTCTAAGATTGAACCCGCTTGCACAAAACTCTGGGCCGTCATTGGTTGAGTTTCCATTGCCTTTTGGACTTTGAAGTAGGTAGTGAATTATATTTATCCGACTCTTCAGTGTTTTCTATTCATAAAACCAAAGGACATTCTAATACCGGACAAAATTTTTATAGCACATTCTCCAGTACCAACCAAACATTCTCATTTAAAAAAACAACCCAACATTCTCCAGTACCAAACAACATTCTCGTGATTATATATATCTGGATTTTGTCTTTCTTTCAAATGTAGTAGTAAGCAATCCTCATGCTAGTTATTTGCTTGCTTTCTCAAGGCATTCCAAGATTCACTTCATTCTCTAGGAATCTGCTTGAATATTATTTTTAGATCTCGATAGTGAAAAAAAGGACTGTTTGAATATTTGAGCACAAGACGCGATTCCTTTTAAAAAAATTAAGACAAAAGTAATTAATATTTTTATACTTGTTCATGAAGTATAAAACAATCCATTTATTCTTGAATTGTTTTAAAAGGACTTCTGCTTTCTCAGTAAATGTCTTAGTAATTATCTAAGAAAAGGTAATATTTTATATATAGAAACAAATTTCGATAAAAAATATTTTGATTGGGTCTTGAAATTGAGGTTTATTAGTTTTTAATAATTAATTTCAAAAAGATAACAGTCTTAATCGACCCATGGATTTTTCTTATATAGGTGTTAACTGAATGACACAATTGGCTAGACAATCTACAACTTATTGATCTATGATGTTGAATTGTATTTATATCCACTAGTCTTATGGTACCCTTGTAGCGTTGAGTAAAAGATTTTAAAAACTACATAAATATTATTAAAAATCGTGTGTTTGATTATAAAATAAAATTTAAAGAAAATAGTTTAAATTTCTAGAGATGATGAATGTTCATTCTATTTTTCTAACTCAATAACAGAAAATATATTGTTCCACATAAGTCGACATAACCTTAACTCAGATTATTTACTCGGTTATATTTTAAAGGAACATTTTATTTATTCCAAGAGAATCACTTGGAATTAAAATTGGAAGTCTATTCCAATCATTCAACTATGCAGCATTATTATTCAAATGGAATTTGTATTTGAAATTTTTATTCGTATTAGTTATCTTTAACCCCACCCCCCCTTCCAAAAAAAAATCATACAAGTTTGGAGTTTGATGCTTGTCTTTTCAGTTTATTAATCTTTTTAATAGTAGTAAACTCTAATTCAAATGATATTATGGCACTTAATTTACGAATGATGTTGATATATGGCCTCTCATACCATTTGGGCAGCTTTTGTCACAAGAACAATCTTACTATTACTACTCATACTCGTTTCTAATTTTATAGTTATATCATAATCAACGGAAATAATTAAATAAGGTAAAATTTAAAGAAATTTTAAAGTTTTAAATATTAGGATTTATACCATAGTTCAAATAAGGAAAATTTTAATAAAGAAAATATTGTTAATTTAAAAGTCCTAATATTTAGAATTTTAAAATTAATTAAGTTTTCACTGTGATGACCCAAAAGGTCATCTCGTATTTTCAAACCCAATCCGGGGTTCCGAGGTCTTCAAAACCTCATATTCGTTCTCTTCGATTTGCGTGCGCAGTCTAGGCGCGGTTCCGGAAAGCCTTTACGTGAAATTTGAGAAAAATATTAAGTTTTGCCTTTAAAATTGATTTAAGTTGACTTCAGTCAATATTTTTAGTGAACGGACTTAGATTCGTATTTTGACGGTCCCGGAGGGTCCGTAGAAAAATATGGGACTCGGACGTAGGCCCGGAATCAAATTCCGAGGTCCCTAGCCCGAGAAATGAATTTTTGAAGAAAATTGTTAAACTGAAAATATAATAGTTTTTGGAAATTTAATAATGCTCGATCTTGTTGGTATCGGGATCGTATTTTAGTTCCGGAGCCCGGTACAGGTTTAATATGGTATTTAAGTCATGCATGTGAAATTTGGTGAGAAACAAAGTTTTTATTACGTGATTAGGACCTTCGGTTGTGAAAATAGAAATTTTAAGTGTTCTTGAGAATTTCATTGATTTTGATGCTAAATCCGTAGTTTTAGATGTTATTTTAGTGATTTGATCACACCAGCAAGTCCGTATGATGTTTTTAGACTTGTGTGCATGTTTGGTTTGGAGCCCCGAGGGCTCGGGTGAGTTTTGGATAGGCTACGAGATGTTTTAGATTTGAAATTTTTGGTGTTTTGGGCTTCTGCTGTAATTTGGTATATCCTTCTTCGCGTTCGCGAAGGAACTCTCGCGAATGCGAAGAGTAAATTCGTCTGAGGGGAAACTCCTTCTACGCGAACGCGAGGCACATGTCGCGAATGCGGAGCATTGGGGGCATTACCCTTCGCAAACGTGACCTGGCTATCGCGGACGCGAAGGCTATTTTGGCAGGGACCTGGGGGAGGGGTGAAATACTATACGCGAAAGCGGAAAGCGGCTCGCGAACGCGAAGGTCGGGGGGTGTGCCTTTGCGAACGCGTACGGTATCTCACGAATGCAAAGGCCCTTCTGGCCAATGCTTCGCAAACGCGAAGAAGACCTGTCCAGTGATTTTAAAACAGAACCTAAGTCGGGATTTGCTCAAAATTTCATCTTTTCCATTAAAACTTAACCTTGGGCGATTTATGAAGTGAGGATTCAACACTAAATTATAGGTTTGTGTTCTTAAACTCATCTCTTTCATTTTCCATCAATACACATTAGATTTTTAGGCCTAAATCTTGTTCTTTAAGGGTAGAAATTAGGAATTTTTGGGGAATTGAGAATTTTACAAATTTGGTAATTTAGACCTCGATTTGGGGTCAGATTTCGAAATTAATTGCTTATCCGGGATTAGGGGTGAATGGGTAATTGGGTTTCGATCTGAACTTCGAGTTTCGACCAAGTGGGCCTGGGGTCGATTTTAGACTTTTTGGGAAGAATGTTGGAAAATCCATAATTTTTCATTAGAATTGGTTTCTTTGGCTTTAATTGATGTTAATAAGTTGATTATGAATAGATTCGGGCAGATTGGAAGTGGAAACTAAAGGAAAAATGGTATTTGAGGCTTGAGTTTGACCGTGTAATCGAGGTAAGTATTGTGGCTAACCTTAGCTTGAGGGATTAGGTATTGTTTTCCCTATTTGCTGCTTGTTAGTTGTTGAGTACGACGTATAGGTGTGGTGACGAGTATCTATACGTTATTGTCGGGTCATAGCATGCGAGTGAGTTCTATACTTGTGACAATTGTGTTTCTTTATACGTATTATTCCTGCTTAAACTAGTTATTGTTCATATTAACAAGTTTTACTATGTTGTTCATGGTTTGGATATTGGGTGAGTATTGGCTCAAGTTGGGATTTCTATTGTGAAATTAAATGATGAAACAAAGTTGTTTGATTGTGATGCCCTTGCTGGGTTGTTATTGTTTCTATTGTTGTTATGGTGAGGAAGAGTGATAAAGCATGAAGGGTGATGTCGTGCATATTTATATTATACATATGGTGAGGAAGAGTGATAAAAAGGGTGATGTCATGCACGTTTCTATTATTGATTACATGATGAGGATTGAGAGTAAAAACACGAAGGGTGATGCCGTGCAAATTTCTGTTTGTTGTGTTTATTGTTATTATCGGTTCAAAGTGTTTTAGTTGTTTAAATTCCTTTGCTGCTGTGGTTGTTTATGCTGGAACCCCCATAGCATGTTGCCCCTTCCCGTTCATTTTTGCTTAAATTTTATTACTGTTATCCTGTTAGTATATTGATTAACTACACAGGTTTATGATTTTTATTGTGTCCTAGCCTCGTCACTACCACGCCGAGGTTAGGCTCGGCACTTGCCAATACATGGGGTCGGTTGTACTGATACTGCACTCTGCACTTTCTGTGCAGATTTCGGTGCCGGACCTCGTGAGTAAAGTTTGTGTTGCTGCTTTCAATCCACAGGAGACCCAAGGTAAATCTGCCGGCGTTTGCAAACCCTGGAGTCCCCTCCCCTCTATCCTAGATTTCCTGTCTCTTTTCATTTCGAGAACATCTATATTTCCTTTAAACCATTATTTGTAGAAATATTTAGATGTTCGTGAAATTGTGACACCAGATTATTGGGGTAGTCTTTTTTTAGAGTTTTGATCTGTTATAAAACTTCCGCACTTTATATCTGTTTAGCTGTAGCTATTATTTTCTTTATTGTTTGAGTTAATAATTAATAGGTTAGATTCGTATCGGTTGGCTTACCTAGCTTTCAGGAGTAGGCGCCATCACGATCCCGACGGTGGGAAATCCGAGTCGTGACAAGTTGGTATTAGAGCACTAGGTTGCCTAGGTCTCACAATTTACGAACAAGCTAGGTAGAGTTTGAGGGATCAGTACACATACGTTTGTGCTTATCCCCTAGAGGCTACAGAGTTTCGAAATGACTTCACATCTATTCTTCTCTATCGTGCGATTT